TGTTCTGTTTCAGAGGGGTTCTCCTGGGTCCAGGTCTACCACATGTTCTGTTTCAGAGGGGTTCTCCTGGGTCCAGGTCTACCACATGTTCTGTTTCAGAGGGGTTCTCCTGGGTCCAGGTCTACCACATGTTCTGTTTCAGAGGGGTTCTCCTGGGTCCAGGTCTACCACATGTTCTGTTTCAGAGGGGTTCTCCTGGGTCCAGGTCTACCACATGTTCTGTTTCAGAGGGGTTCTCCTGGGTCCAGGTCTACCACATGTTCTGTTTCAGAGGGGTTCTCCTGGGTCCAGGTCTACCACATGTTCTGTTTCAGAGGGGTTCTCCTGGGTCCAGGTCTACCACATGTTCCAGGGTCCAGGTCTACCACATGTTCCAGCAGTTTGACAACAAGTTGACAGTTAATCCTGAGGGAACCTGAGATCCTGACCATGAATCACTGACTGATGGTTTCCATCGGATGAACTTTGATTAAACAAACAAGCTGAATCTCTGAACAGCAGCACTTCCTGCTCTTCTGATACGACCCTGCATGTTGACCTCTGACAGAAGTTGTTTTAAAGCTTTCTGCCAGAATTTCAGCCTAAAATCATTAAATATTGGGAAGTGACAAAGTTGTAGCACAATCTGCTGGCTTCCTCAGAAAGATACATTTTACTAAATATCACTTCATAATGTATGTTTTATGTTTTTCTGATGTCTTTTGTTGTGAATGTAGAAACTGAATTGAGTTAAGGTCCAGTAAAACCTTCAGCAAACTTAAAGGAAATGTTTAATGTAGTGATGTGTGGATTAATACTGAAACATTGATAAACCAAACCTTTCTGCTCAGTTAGGGTTAGGTTAAATATTCATACTTCAGGTGTGTCAGGTGTGTCAGGTAATGTGCATCATTAACTGCAGGGAACTACTTTTTCTTCTGCAGTGCAGCGGCACACGCTCCGTCACACTGATGGAACATGTTCACTGAGTAATGTAGSTTAAAACACGCTTTCAGTTTTATCACTTCTTCATAATTAAACAATAATTTATTTTAAAGCTTTTATTATTTTACTTTATCTTCATATTCCTTAACGAGGAGGTTCTCAAACTTGGTCCCAGGACCCCCAGGGGTCCATGAGAGGTATCTTAGTGGTCCTCAAAAAATTTAGCTAAATTGTTAATTTGGTTTTTATTTTTAAATATGCATGGAGAACAATTAACTAATAAAACAAACATAATAAACTTAATAAAAACATATATTCTAATGGCCTTTAGGGGTGGAAATGACAATAAATTGTTTTAAAACAGCACAGGGTTCAGGAGGGGGTCCCTGTTGTTTGGCCCTGGTAGGGGGTCCCAAATGTCTTGAGARCCCCTGCATAACGCACCATTTTCACAATTTATGATTCTGCCTGCTGGTTTTTCAGCTGAATCAGCACAGCTCAAAATACTTCAGTTAAAAATCAATCAAATTATTTTTGATGTCTTGTTTTCTTTATGAAGTGCTTTGAAATGCACTCTCTTTGTTTTTACCAACACTAGGTGTACCCCAGGCTGAAACGTTGAACATGTCTGGTTTAATGGTAAMGGTGAAAAAGTGCTGAAGAATAACCAACAAGCCACCATTCTTCATGTGTTGACACTTTTATTTTTTAAAAAGCAACATCCTGACCCTGGATATCAAAACATACAGTAAACTGGATGTAAACCATTAAAACCAGCAGGTTTTACATGGAAACCATTCCCAACATGTTGGTTTATTTGAGGCACTTTGAACCAAAGTCTCTGTCAGGTTAAACATTAAAGAAAGTAAATCTTTGGTCCTGTTCAGCGACCCGTCMGGTCAACAGAACCACTTTATTTCATACCAACTATTTACATTTAGCCCTGATCAGAAAACAAAACAGAACTGCCAAAGTTCCTCTGTCACATGTTTAGACTTCATATTTTCACTAAATTAAACCTGACAACAGAATCAAAGTTACAATAATAATCAGATMTTTTCCCTTTTTTACAGCAGGATCTTCACTGGAACATGTAATGTTCAGAAACTGACACAGTTGTAAAAAACTAAGAGATTAAACCATGTTTGTCCATGTTGGACCAGGTCCTGAAGATCCACAGTGTCCCRTCTGGACCGAGTTCTGGCTCATTGTTCAGCTGCTCCATCAGTGACACCTTTACAGTTCAGGTGATTTGTTCTTGATCAGGTCGAAGCCGTCAGCTCTTCTGTCATTAATCATTAGAAAACTGCTGTTTGTAAAATTAAACTTGAACCTGAGGTGAACTATGAGACAAGGTAAACAAAGGGAGGCTTTTGTTCCCAAGCTTGTCCTGACAAAGTCTGGACAGGTTCTGCTGTGGTGGATCTGATGGGACTTTATGACTACTTCAACTCAAAACTGACCAACGAGTAAAACTGTAACAGTCTGCTCTGCCTGAGGCTCTGTTATAAGGGATCAGCAGGTCTGTGGTCGTACAGGATCATCTCTGTCCTTTAACGACTGTATGTTCGTTTTYTTCTGTCAGGTATGGATGGTGGACTGGTTTCTGTCTGCAGGGACAGACTGGACCACACTGGGCCAGCTCTGAACACTAAAGCTGCAGGCTTTCAATTAATTACACTGTTTACAACAAATTACCATCGATACAGGAAATGTATGAAAACAAAATTATACACTGTACATGAAGGAAAAATAATTTTAATGAGATCTACCAATCAACCAGTAGATGAGACTTTGATAGGATCCAGATCTGGACCAGTCTACCTGAGACCTGTGGCCTATTAATGATGATCAGATAATATAAAGATTTTAATWAGAAAACAATCAGAAGAAGACAAGACTAAATCTGAAACTTTTAACTCCACAACCAAGATCTTCATTTAGTTTGGACTGTGGTCTGTTCCTGAACAGATCATACTGAGCTCCTCTCTGCTTCATCAGTTGGACATCCATCCTTGTTGAAAACCATAAACAAAACATTTTAAAAAGTTCTGATCGAAGGATCAGTTTGTTTTACTGAACAGAAATATATTCATTAATAAAAACTGTTTGCAGTTAATTAAAACACCAACAGAACCTGAATGTGCTGCACTGCATGACTTAGGATGATGACAGGATTTTCACTTATTATTTCAACAATTCAATGTTTATTTTGAATCTTTGAAGATAAAACTGTAGCGATGTATGAACGTTACAATTTGTTTCCTGTTTGGGATTTCTTTAGTAGAATAAATCTGTGCTTCTTACCAGCTGTGTTTCCRTTCACCATGAAAATGTGCAAATTACTTTCAACAAAATGTTTTTGCACTAGGATGAGGTGGTTTTTCAGCCGTATCTAAATTGGTGTTTTTCACAAAACTACAATGGAAACAGTTTTTTCACATCACAGGAGTCACGTGATCAACAACCGTCTGTTTCTACTGGTGAAAAAGACGATGATGAAGAAGATAACAGGAAGTAGAAGTAGTAGTAATACCACAGAAGTAGTATAAAATAGTAAACTCACCGACTACAATTTGCCAAAAACACAGCATACGTAGCCGCTCCCAAGTAGGGACTTGTCTCTGGAAAGCCTCGATAAAAGACGCCGACGTCTCCTCTGATGATGAGCGCTAGTGTCGTGGTAGCAACATGCTATGTGTTTACATCCATCGCTGCCATGTTTGTAATGACTTATCATGAGAACAAACGTATTCACCTGACTTTAAGAACATTTCTTACTTAATGGAAACGCTGCAGATGTGAAACTGTGTTTTTCGACATTAACAGAATATCGATTAAGTTTTGCACATTTGTAATGGAAACACAGCTGGTAACGCCTAACTGAAGCAGAACCTCTACCACACGCAGACATCCTCCTTTAAAAGTACTGAAAACTGACTTAACTTAATCTTGCTTCATAGTGTACCTCTTGAATAAAAAAAACAATGAAACATTAATAAATGTAATAGAGAAAATAAAACATATTCAAAGAAATTTCATTACATTCATGAATGAATTTCACCTTTCAGAAAATAAAAACAGTCTGTCGGAGACGGGTCTGACCCTTGAAGGTCTCCCAAAGAACCAAAGCTAATGAACATCCTGATGGTCCACAGACCTGCAGCCGATCCAGACCAGTCTGCTGTGGCCTCCAGCAGGTCATACCAGTCACCTCACAGACCTGCGCTCAGCTGCAGGGAAGCCATGTTTGATAAGAGTTCCTGCACAGAGACACGGCCGACTGGACCTGCGCCACATAGTAGTTGCTGAAGTTGACGTCTCGGACGTACGGCGCCGGCTGGTAGTAGTAGGTGATGTTGGACAGGGCGGGGATGGCGTTCTGTTCGGCCATGACGCGCAGCGCCAGGGCGGAGATGAGCGTGAGCGTCTGGCGCCGCTCGTGGCCCATCAGGCACACGGTGCTCTCGTCCACGACCCGCCTCAGCGTCGACAGGCACTCGTAGCGTTTGTGCTCGATTCCCACAAAGTGGTTCTGCAGGTACGCCTCCAGCTTCCTCTTCTGCTGGCTGATGTCRGGGAAGTCGATGAAGAAGCGCGAGCACATGTAGCGCTGCATCTGTTTCATGTCGCTCTCCGAGGACGGGCGGAAGCCCCGCACCAGCAGGTGGCAGTACTTCAGCAGCCCCCCGCCTCGGATCTCCTCGGGGCTCCGGGTGGCGATGGTTTTGGTGCGGAGGTGGCCCAGGGCCTCCTGGAAGTCCCCGTACATGCTCTCCCCCTGCACGGTGGGGTGGAACGTCTCGGACATGGCCGTCTCAGAGCAGCGGTCGAACAGCAGCAGCGAGTCCAGCGTGATCTGGAAAGAGTCCACGCTGAACTCGAAGGGTCTCCGCAGGGTGTCCACAAACTTCAGCTCCACGTTCTTACCCGTGTTGTTGGACAGGGAGATCAGGCTCCAGCGGTCCGTGTCGTTGCAAACTTTCACTAGTTTCTGCACGTAGGCCTCCTTCAAGGCCAGGGCTGTGATCCTCTCCCTGCAGACCCCTTCAGGTAAGAAGTCCACGAGGCAGTCCAGGACCACATCCTTTACCAGACGGAAGGTCTTATCATCAGAGAGACTCAGGCCAAAGATCAGATCCAGGTCTTTGTAGCCCAGGCCGTTGTCCTGGTGCAGCACATGGCTGGCTGCTGAGCCGTTCAGCTTAACGTCACGTACGACCACGCCCTGCTGCTCCAGTCGAGTCCTGACCACCTGAAACACAACGAGACAGGAAACTGAGTGGTTCGAGTCCAAAACAAGATCCTCATCAGAGCTTCTCAGAGGAAGAGCAGGTTGAAATGTGAAAAACTGGAGACTTTTTAAAGAATAAAGACAATAACAGAGTCATAGCTGAGTGAAACAACCCCTCCCAAAATATGAACCACAGAAAAAAAGTCWAATATTCTGAGTGGTTAGTGCTTTGTTTGTGCACGTTTGTGCACTTGACCTTGTTGTTTGTGTTGCTCTGGTTATTTATAAATTAAAGATTATGTGTAAGGGTCATTCAGGGGTCACCAGCCCACCACTCGCTGYAAAATGAACCAAAAATGAACCRAACTAGTCGAATTTTGTAGTGTTTGTTTGAGCAGGTTTGTGTCGTTGAAACAATTGTTTRTGCTGTTATAGTTTATGATTTATTATACGTTATAATTTCAGACGATCACGTGACTTGTCCTGAATTGTTTGTCTGTGACAACAGGCTGAGTCACGTGATCGTCTGAAATTATAACGTGTAATAWMTSATMAAYTATAGCAGCACAAACAATTGTTTCAACGACACAAACAAACACAACAAAATTCAACTAGTTTGGTTCATTTTTGKTTCATTTTGCAGCGAGTGGTGGGCTGSTGACCCCTGAATGACCCTYACACATAATCTTTAATATATAAAGATCCAAAGCAGCACACAYCGGCACAAACGAAGCACCAACAACTCTTCATATTTGCCTTTTTTTCTGTGATTAATGTTTTGGGAGGGGTTGTCTACCCTCAGGAATGGCTTGAATTTGAGCTCAGATTTGGTGTGGTAGTAACTGAGTGTCCTTCATGACATTACACAACATCTCATTGAGTTTTTGACCGTCACAATATCCCTTATGAAAAAACAATGTGCTGTAAATCCTGCTGCCAACAGTTCAGTTTAGTTTATTTTGCCATGCAGGCTCCAGTGAGATGAGCCCAGGTTGGGTTTCAGTTCCATGCTACACAACAACTGATGACGCTGAAGCTTACAAACTSTGGCCTTTAGACAAAATAAAGATGGTATCAGTGGCAGGAATCAGATGCTTCAGGGAGACAGTGTCCTACATACTGTAGCACAGATCAGTAACAAACACATCGCTGCTGTATCTGATCTCGTGAACAACAAAGAGCACCAGCACAGCAGAGAGGGAGGCAGCTCTTTMAGTCAGGGCTCATGAAAGCTTTGCGTTTACAGGAAACAGGGCTGGGATCCACACACAGTGCTTCCTGTCTGTTGGAACACACCAACACCACGGACGACACACAGCTGTGCTTTCAACAATAATTTATCCTCTGGGATGTGTTGTCCTGCTTTGATTTTAATCATCACATGTTCACTTTCCAAAGTGTAGATTTATATTGTTCACCACTGAAGGTGCTCATCTTGTTGCTCATCAGTACTGTATTGTATAATATCTCATGTACCACTAAGACACATATAAAGGGATGCATGATGTATCGTATCAGCCAATATTGGTAATTTTTTAGAATATTGGTATCGGTCCGATATGTAAAACTGGGCCAATATTAATGTCCCATATTGATTTCCCACTTTTTATCTTTAGTTTGTGTTTTGGGAGCTGGTTGGTTGAGCTGCATCTGTTTGATCATGATGATATTGAYKCTGYGTAACCAGGAATAACTGAAGTAGAGTCATATCAGAGGTCTGGTTGTTTATTTATGGCATCAAAATAAGACCCAAGTGTGTTTGTGTGTATATGTATAATATAATGTTTGTGTAATATCGGTAAATATCAGTTATCGGCCATAACAGCAATAATTATGTCAGATATAGATATCGGCTGAAATTTTCATATGAGTGCATTCCTACTATGAAACTTAATTAAGTTGCAGTCACCCTAGTTAAGAGTGGACACTACGTCTATTTAGCCTTAGCCAAGACAAAAACAACTAAGTGCTCTCTGACTGCAGGTTTACTTGTGGTTTCTAGAGTTTCTAGAAGTAGTGTTCAGTTCTCAGGATCCTCTCTAGTGGAGATAACTTCCAGTTTCTGTCCGTGAGGCCAACACTGTCTATTCAAGACTTTCTCTTCTGATAAATGCTATACACTCACCGGCCACTTTATTAGGTACACCACGCTAGTAACGGTTTTATGGTCATAAAGGGATGGACATGGTCAGCAACAAGACTCAGGTAGGCTGTGGC